TGTGTTCCTTCATCAGCAGCACTTGCACTATACTGAATAAGTATTTGTAAGCCTTACCATAGATACGCATTTTTTTGTACTCTAATTACTTACTTGTCTTTCTCCTTTTCTTCATAAACAATACAGCATAGTTAGCACTGGTGATAGACACCCCTAATGATTCCCCCAATATCTTTTCTTCCCTTTACGACAGTAATAAAGTGCTACACGTCTGAGCTGGTCCATAGAGAATCCATAGAGATTCTCATTAGAGATCATACTTCCCAGCCTCTTTTGCAGCTAGATGTGGCCGCAAGGCTAAATTATGGCAATGGATTTGAACAGAATTTCTGGGATGTGCTCTCACAATGAAGCAGTTTGCCTTCCTGTTTTCTTCTTGCCTTGGTTTTGCAGATTGCCCTTTACACATTTTTAGTCTCCCTTGGGCTAAAGTAGGTGTGGAGAAGATTCCCTTTTGGAACTGTCTTTAGCTTTCTTAGCCCTTTTCCTGGTAAGACTGGTTTGGGGGCCTAGTAGTTGCTTCAAGGGTCAATCTTTCATAGACTTTTTTCAAAGGGGAAAATATAGTTGTGTTACTAAATTCTGGCCAGTGAGTTTGCCTGAAAGTGGGGCCTAACATCTGGCTCATGCCTTTAACAGGACGCTCTCTGCAGCCTCTTTCCTCTTTCTTGAGAGCAAGCGTTTGATGGTCTTACGTTTACCTTGACCCAGGCATCAACCTACACAATACAAAGCGAGAATGCAGAAGGCTCTCATGACCCTGGTCCTATCTCGTGGGGAAACACTGCACAACCTCATGGGATTGGCTACAAACTGGGACTTTCATATGTGAGAGAAACAACTTCCATCTTAGTTAAGCTATTGCTATTTGGTCTCTGTTAAAGCAGCCAAATAAATACTGATAATTACAACTATAGGTTGAATGAACATATGACTGTAATATATAAAATACTGAATATAGGTAAAGCACAGGTTGAATATCCCTTATGTGAAATGCTAATGTTTCAGATTTCTGATGTTTTTCATTAGAATACTGTAGTCCCTTGGTCTCTATGGGGAATTAGTTCCAAGATCCCTTGTGGATATCAAAAATCCTCTGATGCTCAAGTCCCTTATATAAAATAGCATACTATTTATATACTATCTACATATAATGTAAATACTTCCATGGTTTTTAAATCACTTCCAGATCACTTATAATACTCAATAAAATGTAAATGTTATTTAAATACTTTTATTGTTTAGGGCATAATGACCTGAAAAAAAGTCCATGCATGTTCAGTACAGATGCAATATTTTACATATATTTTCGATCCACATTTGGCTGAATACGCAGATGCTGATTTCACGTATAAAGAGGGCTGACGGTATTTACATTACATTTACTGGCTGAGCATTGAAATCTGAAATCCAAAATGTACCAAAGATCATTTGATCATGATCATTTTTTGATTATGCTGGTGATTAAAAAGTTTCAAATTTTGGAGTCTTTCAGATTTCAGAGTTTTGGATTAGAGATACTTAACCTGCAACATTAAAGAATTATTTCTCCCATTCCCCTAAATTGTGCATATAAAACATCTCTAGTCTGTTGAAGAAGAACTTTATAGTACAAAGCCGAAATGTAACTCAACTTCTCTGTCATCATAACTTTGGGTCCACATCTTAACTCGCTTTCTGATAAAGTAGATTAGCACAGAAGGCATCTACTGTCTACCAAAATGAAGACAGTACAATACTGGGTTACTATTTCTGTTCAGGAGTTCTATCATGGTGCGCAAACAAGGCTTTTAAGTGGAAAATGGACTATGAAGTTTTCAAATTATGTATCTTCTATTCCTCTGTATAGGGAAACATTGTAACAGTATGAAATACTATTCTTGGATTTCAGGGCTTTTGTAATTGCTTGTTTTCATATAGAATGCAATAAAAATTTCATGGAAACAAAGGAACTACCTAGTATTTAAGAATAACATTTGACACTGGGATATAAAAAATTTTGCCATCTATATTTATCATTATTTTATAAATAATTTTGCATTCTCATATACAGATTATAACTGTCTAAATAAGGATTTATGCTTGCACAATCTGATCAGATCTATTGATGGTCAAATTTGTGCCATTTATATCATTATAGCACTAGAAGAAATATCAAGAGTCTCTATATAACTCTTTAGATATATAACTCTTAATTTATTGTGTGGAAAAGAGTTAGAGTTAGACTTTCTGGATAGCTAGGATTTGAAAGAGGAACTGAAGGTGAGCCCTAATACTGGGAAAATGGTTGAAGGCGGTGGCTTTTGGAACATGGAATTATAATTAAGAAAATTGGAAATTGACTTTTATTTATATACTTATATCTGCTACATATAAGTATATATGAGCATATATTAGACTTGTATATAATATACATATAATATATATAAGTATAATAATATAATACATATTACATATATATATATATCTATGTATGTATATCCAGAATAGACTATACCTTCAGAAAGAGATGCAGATATTTTGCTTTACTATACCTAAAAGTCTACATTGCTGAAGACAAACATGGTGATATTGTTTCTAGTACCACTGACATTATTTTGTATAAATACTATTGTCTTTCTTTCTATCAATATTTTATTGTTGCTGTTGTTGTTGTTCTTCCTTGTTAAAGGAAGGAATGGAAGGATGGATTAATAGAGTTTACATTTAAGAATTATAATTACCACTAAACAAAGCAAAAAACATGATCCATCCTGCTTTGAGGATCCCAGTGGAGAGAGTGATTTTGCCACAATAGATTTTTTTCCTTTAAATTATGAAAAGAGAAGATTATTTATCTCAAATAAATAATAGAGGCCACTTCATGATCAATGGTTTTGTTTTTTAGTCTTGTTGGGATATTTATTACATTTGGCAGTACGAAAAGACCTGATTTTTCAGAAATGTGACTTTAGGTATAAGGCTATGTTACAGAATTAACATAAGAATGTATGAAAAATAGTTTAGAAAAAAAGAAAAAATTGATTTTTTAAAAAAACATGTTTGTTATGTTAAAATATAACACTGAAAAAAATCACCAAAATCATAAATGTTGTGCAGAAGAAAAACTAACGTATTAACTTGAATGGTTATGGTATTCTACGTTGCTGATTAATGAGACATCTTGACTCAAATGAGAACATATTTATGTGAAATCCCATAAAAAGGAACTGCAGTTATAATAAGCAGAACTTTTAGTCTATTTCCGAGAAACTTCACTGCTGTAAATTATCTAACACACCTTCCAACAGAGAGGACATCACTTTGTGTAGCAACGTGGGAATCTGGTTTAGAAGTCTATAAGTAATCTGTTTCATTTGTGTATTTTAAGGATGTGATTTAGGAATAAGGTACTAGGTTTGCAACATAGAAGTAAAAGAAATAATATGACATTAGAAAATATCATCATTCATTTAACATAACAAATTGTCATACATTAAGCCAAATCCTCCCATGGTGTAAATTATACAAATTTGGAACCTGCATTTATTATTGAATGTCTCATTCCCAGACAGGTGCTTACTCGGTAGCAAAATCAGGTTTAGCACACCAAATTTAAACCTATTAAATAAATAGGAAGCTTTTAAAAAAATCTGGCATGTAGCTAAAACATTTGTGCACATTTTAAATCATTTTTTCCCCTAATGGTATTTGCTACCACAAATACTATAAAAGAATTTTATTAATAGGCAGAGATACTTGAACTAAAGCTTGGACTGTTTAGAACTTATTTAAAAGGCCTAGCTGGAAGTAGTCTCCGGTCTTTCAGTATAACAGGTTGATAGTAAGAGACTGAGTGTTGTTAGAGTAAATGCTAATATTCTAAAATGTTCTGGAATTTCTTATGGAAGATGATTTAATGAGTGTATGTTCCCAGTCGTATATCAGCTTACGTTAAATTTTAGTTTATCATTTCCAAGAATTCGCCTTCTACACAGCCCTTTGCTCAGTGGAGTTAGTTTAGGAACCAATAAGTAAAAGGGCTATTTTTCCTTCGTGTAAAATAGTTTAAGAGTAATTTTGCGTAGTCCGGAAACTATGAGCTATTAGAAAGATGCTCATAAATGGGCATAGTACATCGCTTGCCCAAGACTGTAACAACCTAGCCTAATCCTTATAACCCTGTTGGGCACCTTCTGCTACTGGCTGAGTAATAACCATTTTTGGCAAAGCCCACCCAGGACATGGCCTCAGAATCTATCCTAACGCTGGCTGTCCTAACCTCTACAGTATAGTGTCCCCTGATTCGGAGCGAGTGCATTCAGTTCAGGAAGATCACTTACGACTGAGTTTTTCATCATGGCTTTGACTGTGAAGCCCTCAGAAACCAGGGAGTGAGGCTGGTGCACCGGGAGCGGCTGTTGTGCCAGCAGCTTGGTCCTCTTCGGCATCTTGTCTGGGCATTTGTTTAAGCTTAGGGTTTCTTTTTCTGCCACCATCTTCCTAGAAAATGTCTTGTTCTCATAAAAAGTGTGGTATAAGAATCAGTGGGTTTTACGGATGTGAACAGGAGGTCAGGAAAAAATGTAAAGAAGTCGCGTTAATGGTAGAAATTCAACAACCCCTCGCAGTGCCCAGGTTGATCCAGATGTTTGGCAGCTCCTAGGTGAAGGGAGTTTAGGAGAGGGGAGGGGCAGGAAGAGGGCAGGACCGTGGCCAGAGCTACTACAAGCTTCCAAAGGCAACCCTCCCGGTTGCTAAGCGACTCGTCAACACTGCAGGCGAATACCCCTCCTCCCCGTGACGTATGTTTCCTGGGCCTTAAGCCGGAAAGGGCACTGTGAGGCGAAACTACGCATTAAAACTACGACTCCCAGCAGGCCTTGGGCCACTTACGGCCTGCGCGTGCGCATTCCTAGGTCCCAGCGCCGGGGCGCAGAGTCTTGGCCAATTTAACTCCGGAGCGCCACTGGTGGGGTAGGCGCGGGCGGTGACCGTGCGCGCTTAGGTCCCTTCCTGCACGGCTGCCTCCACCTGCCCAGTGACCATGATAGGTACGTGGGTGACTGCCAGGTACAGCCTCTTGCGCCGCCACGCGCCTGGGTGTGGCGCAACGCCGTGCCTCGGCCCACCGGGACCCCCGGGGGCCGGCCTGTGCCAACTGTCAGTGACAGGGCGAAAGTGACGGCGCTGTCCTCAGCCCGCGCCGCCAGGCTCCGCTGTTTGGCGGGCGCGGGCCTAGCGCCGCCGACGTGGTTGTGGGTCCAGCAGAAGTGTGTGTGTTTTAAGCTCCCGCCGTGGTTTACAGTGCGCCCACAGAAGACAGCCTCGCCGGGAGCACTGCCGTGCGCCACTGCGCCCCCCGAGGGCCGGGCGGGGTCCCGCAAGCCCCGCAGCCTCCCTCACCCTGCGGACTGAGTGGGGTCCAGCTAAGGTCTCGCCTCAGCTTCCCCACAGCCTCTTCCTGAGGGCGGTCTGGCCGACTGTGTTTTATTTATTTTACTTTTCTTCCTTCCTTTTTTTTTCTTTTGTGAGACAGGAATCTCATTTTGTTGTCCTGGGTAGAGTGCCGTGGTGTCATAGCTAACGGCAACCTCAAACTCATGGGCTCAGGCGATCCTCTTGCCTCAGCCTCCCACGTAGCTGGGATCACAGGCTCTCGCCACAGCGCCGGGCTAGTTTTTCTATTTTTAGTAGAGGCTCAGGCTGGTCTTGACTGAGCTCAAGGGATACACCCATCTGGTCCTCCCAGAGTGTGGATTACAGGCGTGAGCCACTGCGAAAGCGACCGGCTTGGCTGTCTTTTAGTTTAGGACAGATTGGAATACACTATCTGTAGGACTCTTTAAGGAAACCCCAGCAAAAGTGGTGACTGTTGGAATCAAAAGCAATTCCAACAGATGGATTTGAACTTTTTGCTCCCTCGGATTTTTCCTTTTTAATCACTCGAAGGTCATGAAAGAATAATTAATAGTTAAATAATAGCGAAGATTAAATCATCTATGTTTGCAAATTGAATTCATGATTCTTTTTTAAAAATAGAAAATTGCACCTAGGCAATTTTGGAAGTGGTTATTAGAATTGTTTGTAAGCACTGTGAAGTCTAGGATTAGCAAAAGTCCTCTCTTGGGTCGTTAAGCTAAAAGTTACTTTAGGGGTTATCTCTGACAATTATGGAAATGTACAGTATATTTAGAAAACCTTACTATTTGGAGGTTTTATTATTGCAGAGATTTGCTCCAGATTACATATTGAATTCTTAGTGAGTTTGACTAGGGATTATTCCTTACAAAACACTTTTGACTGCAACTAGTACATGTGAACTTAGATGTGTTCTGTCTAGAAGATGAGAGGTGGATTTATAAAATATGTAAATTTTATGCACTGAAGACACTTCATAAATCTGTTTTTATTTATGAATTAATGTTAAAATGTAAAACATGGTACCTATTGCTGGGAGAATCATGCCAGTTAACTGCCATCGTCTTTAAAGCGGTGGTTAGAACTCAAGGATGTTGTCCAGTTTTTCTTACCTTTCTAGCACTGTCTAGATGATTTGAAGATTACCCAAGTAAGAACAAAATTATAAATTTTTATGAATCTTACTGAATTTTTTGTACATGACAGTCACATAAGATTCACTTGTAAACACAAATCTAAATCGAATCAAAGAACCAAGTAGAAGATATTTTTCAAAATCTATGCTGTCAGTATTTTACAGGAAAAAAGTCTATTTTAAATACAAGTAAACACATTTTGTTTTGATTTAACTTAATCTAGGGCATGGATAATTTTAAGAGAAACACATTTATTGTAAAGCCATATAAAGACAGGAAGCTAAGATCTACTTAGTTATAATTTATTATCATTACTAGTTATGAAGTCATTACTGAGTTATAAATTATTATCTAGTAAACGATTAACTTTATTAGTATGAAATATGTTTAGGCAGTTCTGTTTAGTTTTATCTGGGAATCTTCTAAGAAGGAAGAAGTCTGATCTTTGGACTTAATAGTTACCAGTTATTGGTAATGACATGGAGAATATGCAGTGGGTTTTAAGAATTGTTCTCCCTTTTACTCCAGCTCTTGTTTTACATAGAGCAAGTAAATGTGCGTTACAACATAAATGATTAACTCCATGCCCTCCTTCCTCAAGAAGAGTATCTTACATATGAAAACCATGTGGATAATGAACAATAAATTGTTGTATTCAACTAATTACATTGTGTAATTATGTTGATGGACACATTACCATAAAAACCTGGACGACCACTTCTGAACTAGGGTATGTGTGGTGAACTGTGCTAAGGCAGGTTAAAGTAAAGGCAACTGAAGGAAAGCCCGGGAATGCTGAAATTTGGGTTTTCTGACTAAACCTCAGAGTCAGAAAAGGCATTATACTCTTCATCCAGTGATCAGTTGGAGATCAAAGTATACATGTCTGTTGAGTGCGTATTATTTTTTCTGTTGAAGAGTGCTACCAGAGCTTGCCTCTTTATGCCTATGCTCTCTCTAGTTGCCGCACCCTCCTTAATGCAAATAATACTCCTCCACTTTATTCAAATCCTGGCTCACTTTGAGGAGAAACAAAAAGATGAGTTTCTTGGTAGAATGGGACTAAAGGGAGCTGTTAGCTTACTACCAGTAAAATTATTAGACTTAGCCATCCTTCAGAGAATTTGTATTATGTCCCTTTTACTTGCTCAGAACCGAGGATTCCCTTCATGACATGGACACCATTTCAAAAGTCCTTACACTTCCCATTCAGATTATGATTGATATGTTGAATGCTTAACCCAGGCAGCTACCAAAACATAATTTAATTGGAGTCAGTGAAAAATTATGCCTTCTTGAGCAATGTGAAGAAAGACTTTAAGATAATATAAAGTAGAATAGAAAAGTTTAAGAAAATTTAAGTTAAAAATATAATTTTTGGCACCTCTGTTAACAATATGTTTCACCTTTTTTAAAAAAAGCAATTCTTGAGTGGCATCTGTGGCTCAAAGGAGTAGGGCGCCGGTCCCACATGCTGGAGGTGGTGGGTTCAAAGCCAGCCCCAGCCAAAAACTGCAAAAAAAAGCGCAGTTCTTTGTGTTCAAAATCAAATTTTAGTGGTAATATTGATATGTTCTAAATGTTCTATAGAATTGAATTTGGGTATTTTAGTGTTATTGATGTTAAAATGTATGATATACATACAACAGTGCTGTCAGTATTCAAATTCAATGGCTTATACTTTTAAAAGACTTTTGATTGAATTTGAAAAACCCAGTAATTAGAACATAGTCTCTTATTTAACTTAGTATCTCTTAGAGAAGTGATCTCCATCTTTTTGGTACCAGGTCCCAGTTTCATGGAAGACAGTTTTTCCGTGGATGGGACTAGAGCTGAGGTGGGGTGGGTGGGAATGGTTTCGGGATGATTCAAACACGTTCATCTCCACCTCAGATCATCGGGCATTAGAGTCTCATAAGGGTCACACAACCTGGATCCCATGTGTGCACAGTGGACAGTAGGGTTTGCACTCCTATGAGAATCTAATGCTGCTGCTTATCTGTCAGGAGGCAGATGGAAATGGTAATGTGAGCATCTATTTACAGAGACGAAGCTTCGCTCTCTTGCCTGCCACTCACCTGCTGTGTGGCCCCGTTCCTGACAGGCCACCAGACCAGTACTGGTGCATGGCCTGGGGTTGGGAACAGCAGTCTTAGAGAATTTGCATCTCTGCATGTGCAGATCCACCCCACAATAATTTCTGCCTTGTCTTTTATAGAATATAGAAATTATGCAGATACTTCTCAATGAATACATTTCAGTAGGTTTATAGACAATTGTTATCATCAGGAATATTTGTGTCTCTTGCATGTGTAAGCATATATGTAAAGTAAAGTTATTATTTTGATTTCTTGGTGGATTTTCTAATAAAAAACTTCATTGATTTTGAATTTTGCTAAGTATTCTAAATTGTTCAAAAGTAAATTGCCCTATGTTACACTCCTATCTGAAGCCTTTCCTATTACAATATGGCGGCAAAGAGCTGTTCAGCCCCTTTCTACTAAAAGTTAATAAAAGACATCCTTCCCAAATTTACTCAGCTTTCACCAGCAGAACACCTACTGGATTTTCCCCTCCTCCACCTCACTCTCATCCTAGGTTTAGTTCCTCCCAGTGCTTAAGCTGCACAGCTTCACTGGGTGGCCCAGCCCTCCCTGACAGTATGTAGAACAGTGCCCATTTCCCCACCATGCATGATCAGTGATTTATATTTGTGGTAGATGAAAGCAGTATACTTTAATTTTTAAAATAAAATTATGGAGAAACAAAACCTCTCCCTTCTCAGTCTGTAATGCTTTAGTTGCACAAAAGGAGATCCAGTGAATGATCACCTACTGTGTGCCCAGTACCGCTCTAGGTGCCAGGGATATGAGTGTATAAAATTGCATGCCATAGTAACTTTACTGTTTGCCCATAAATCTACATATTTGTTTTAAAGCTTGTCATGCAATAAATTTTAAAGTCTCAGAATTTATATTTCTAGTTGAAAATTTTGTGTACTGCTCCTTGGACTGCCATTTTAATAGCTAGATGAAAAGCAACTTTGTGTCTAAATATCCCAAAGCTTCTGCTTATGATAAGGAATACTTGTGTCAAAAATAGATTCTACTAAACTTTTGCATAGAGGATTTTATGTAATTATATGCAGTCCAAAGCTTCTAAAATGATGACCTCATGCCCTTTACAATTTTGGCTCTACATCTGAGGATTTTTTTGAAGTATTCATTTTTTTTTGAAACCTCTTAACTTCATTGCTTGAAAATGATACAATGAAAATACTTTGTATTAAGGTATGCAAATCCATTCCTACCTCCAAAGCTTTCTTGAAAAGTGCAATAAAGGGGAAAAAAGTTTTCCTTGCTCTGAAATGCTTCATATTCATGAAAGTAGTTTCGATGCAAAATATTTTATTCTGTTAGCTTTTAGTTCTTTGATCAATGAAAATTGTTTCTTACCTGCTGTTTCTTCAGCCTTTAATTGTAGCCCAGTTTTTATTC